AAAAATCTAACTCCCCAAGTAAGATTATTTGCTAAGGAACTTTTCACCATGAGCTTTCTTCAAGCATTTCCATTAAAACTTCCAAATTTTTGTTCTTCCATAATGTAGGAAAAATCTATGGTGAAAATAAAAAAAAACTAAATTAAAGTGAAGCTCTTTCCAAGAGAAGATAAAATCTAAGATCTCTAACACACATAATGTGAAGCCCTAGGTCATGGTTTAGAGGTAGGAGATGAGCTAAAATGTAAAAATGGTGTTTTACTGATAATTTCACAATTTTTTAGGCAATATGGCATTTTTGGGAATTTGGCGCTTCATGCGCCAATCTGGCGCAGCAGTCGCAACTCTCTGTCAAATGGTGTGTTGACCTCACTTTTGGTTGAGGTCTAGTTTTTCCTCTTAGTAGCCTAGGGTCTAGCCATAGGACTTTTATGTTGACTATTCCTATAAAACTAGAAAGGGAACCTTCACTATTAGAAATTCTAAACTCCTCTTTACTGAACTTGAAGTTCCACATAGTGCTCCTAACCTCTAGCACTTAGGTGGTGGGGTCATTATGGGGGGGCCCGCAGAGAGCTCGAAGAGAGTTCCCATAGGACTGCTTGACCTTGGGGTTGACCCTAGGTGTTAGTCTAGAGCTAAGGTACTCACCTCACTCACAATCACTCATAAATACAAACCCAAAATTTCTTGCCTTTGATCCCTTAATCTTTTGGGAGACTCATGTGGATGGTCCCCTAAACCCACTGACCCTTGGCTAGGGTTTAGCTAAGACGAGTCCATAGATGACCCAAATGGGGTTTCCATTTGTCCATAGCTCATTTATGATGGTTAGCTCCCCAATTCTACCAAAAATACTGAACTTGACCTTTTTCCACTAAACTCCCCCAAATTACCGAAGTACTCTTGAAACCCTAAATTTGGCCAAAATTCCTAAATTTACCCAAAATACCCAAATTTGTTCAAAAATCATTTCAAACCTTTTGAAAACATCCAAATTACCCAAAATTACCAAAATACCCCTCCTTAGCCCAAAATTTCAAAAATTCTAAAAATTCCCGAAAATTCCCAAAGCCTTCTAAATATTCCCGATTTAATTTTTCTCAAGTACCACATGACTCAATTTGACCAAAACCCCCAAATTGCCTTTAAAGGCCCAATTTTCTTAAA